TCCCAGGTCTGTCATTGCTGGTGTCCGCCCTTTTCTGTTGGCCATGTAACATTTCTATTCATTTGTCTCCCAGGTCTGTCACTGGTGGTGTCGGCCCTTTTCCGTTGGCCATGTAGCATTTCTATTCATTTGTCTCCCAGGTCTGTCACTGCTGGTGGCCGCCCTTTTCCGCTGGCGATGCAACATTTCTATTCATTTGTCTCCCAAGTCTGTCATTGCTGGTGTCCGCCCTTTTCCGCTGGCCATATGTATTCGTTTGTCTCCCAGGTCTGTCACTGCTGGTGTCCACCCTTTTCCGCTGGCGATGCAACATTTCTCCCTTCTGTCTCCCTTTGTGTCCGGTCTTGTCTCCCTTCTTGTTGGTCACTGTGTCCGTCTTGTCTCCCTTCTGTTTCCTTTTGACTCCCTTCTTGTTTCCCTTTTTGTTGGTCATTGTGTCCGCCGTGTGTTCCTTCTTGTTTCCCTTCTTGTTTTCAGTCTTGGTTCCCTTCTTGTTGATCACTGTGTCCGCCTTGTCTCCCTTCTGTTTCCTACCTGTTTGGGGTCTGCGGTGGTGTAATTTGGGTGAAAGAGTGTATGACTCTTTCGGGACCAAATCCTACACTGCCGGGGATGTCTTTTTTCCTTTAAACTGCTTAGTTCGTGGCTCAGTTGGAAGAGCTTGTGCTGGGTGAACTTGCAAGGCGCGCCTGCTCAACTTGGAGGATGAGCTCAAGAAGCGCGTGGTGGGACAAGAGGATCCTTGGTGAGAAATTTGAGAGGCTGGAGGGATGTATTGTCGTCCTCAAAACTCTTGGCTCAAGTTCCAGAGAATAGGGTGTATTTTTGGCAGCCGCATATATATTATATATTTATAACTAAGTATAACATAATTCATATATTGAACGCAATTGAGCCAAGAGTTTTGGGGGATTGTATTGCCAACCTGTAGTGGATAATGATTGGAAAGGGGACATATTCTCGAAGATGATCTATGAGTTCATCTATGTTCTATATCTACTTGGTGATGACTATTCTGCAATTAAATATACCGTCGGCCTGAACCATCAGAGGTTTGTGCAGATTGTGTAGCGGTTGGGTCTGAACATGTGGTCCTGTGACAGTCCTGTGGCAAAGAACTTAGCGTTTTTCTGAAGGTGGAGGCATTCGAAGGACATGCACAAGACACATTGTATGGTCCGTTTCGGGAAGTTTGCTGGTCGTCGTCGTTGGCACAGACCGTATGCAACACACAAAAATACACTTGGGAAGCAAAGCAGGCAGTGGGATGCAGTGGGTACAGACAAGGAAGCAAGTTCCTGTCATAGCTTTACTTGACCTAGTCACACAGAGAATTCGATTCTATGATAGTTTGTTCTAATTCTAATTTATTCTATGTATGTCTACCACATGTCCTTCGATCCTCTTGGTTATTGCTTTGGAACATAGTTTTGCCTATACAACATCAACGATCCAGCTGGATTGTCCATATCACAAAAACAACTTGTCCTGTATTGAAAAGGCTTATGGTGTTCGAACATGACTCTTGTTGGGAGGGCAATTGTTTCAAGTCCAAGAACTGCCAAACATCTCAAATCATACGCACCATTTTACTGGGTTTTGCTGCAGGAACATACCGTGCTGTTGCAGCAAAATGGGAGTACCCATATCTGAACAGAAGACAGCATTTGCTGGTCACAAAGGCAACCTTTTAAATCGATGCCGATTCGAGACCCTGACCCATCGGGCCTATCAGAGGGTTTCACCTCTCAATCGGAATCCAATTGCCAGGCATAGGGTCCCAACACTCATGTCTTCTCCCTGCTGCTTTTGCTACCCCCAAACAGCCAACAAAGCTCTACATATTTGGAGGTTCTTTTGAGTTCTTTTCCCTGAAACAACAGGACATGTAGGGACATGCACCGACATTTGGTTGTCCAGTTCTTCAGTTCATAAAGCGAATCAAAACAATAACACAAATGTGTTATCCTCCAACCCCATATCGTTTGCTTTTTGAGCCGAGGATAGTTGTTTCTTGGTTCATTCCTGCAGCCGCGTCGCAGGAGGCCGCCGAGGCGGTGAGCCGTGCAGTGCTGCGCTCGGCGGCGCGGCTGAGTCGCCGCACGCAGCCGACAGGCGTCGACCGGAGGGACCGCCATGGGGATTAAGGAGGCCATCGCTAGTAGGTGGGGGGGGGATTGTAAGGTTACATGAGGACCCACAAGGATCGATAAGGTTCCAATTAGGAAGATGGACGAGATAGGATGGCTCTATATGGTTCCTATAGGTTTCAACTTGACTAGAGTTCAAGGAACTGGGACCAAACCAACCCTTTTTGATCTTTTTGTGTAAAGATGCTTAAATAGAGAGATGGCTCCACAGGAACCAGGTTACAGCAGTCCTTTTTCTCCTCCCAAAACAGAGCCCCCACGTCACCCTTACCACCTGGAGCACCAACCCGAAAAAAGAAGTTGTCGCTTCAAACATATTGATATTAGACTAGTGAAGGAAGCCACAGGAGATGGTTTCGCCCCTCGTCACCTCTAAGTTGCCGACGTTTTGACACGGAGGCCCCCAGACCCGAGGGTTGTAACACCGCTTTCTGCCTCCGCGTTTCCCGGTCTCCTCACGTCGTGATGTCTCCCTCTCCAGCGGCGAGGCTCCTTCCTTTTCGCGGGCCCCACGGGCGTGGGCAAGACTGAGCTGGCCAAGGCACTGGCGGCGGAGCTCTTCGACAATGAGAACCGCAGCTGGGCTTCACCCGGTGCCGGAAGCCGCCAGCGAAAAGTGGGCCAACTATGTGATCAGTGAGAAAACGTTTAGAAAAACTGAGGCTCAGGGGTCAGGTGGCTGAACCTCCTGACATTGCAAGAGACAGATTCCAGGGTGGGTCAATCACTGGAACTTGTAAGTGGATAGATGCAAATTCATGGCCATCAAATTCATAGCTGTTAAAGTGTCAAGGACTACTCCCCCACTCGACGCGTACTTCAGCTGATTTTTTGCAGGAGAGCTTCGACCTTGGATGCCCACATCCAACATCCAAGGCATTCTACGCTTCGACATGTCAGAATACATGGAGCAGCACGCTGTCTCACGCCTTATTGGCGCACCTCCGGGCTATGTGGGTCATGAGCAGGGAGGACAGCTCACAGAAGCCTTGAGGTGCGGACGCCGAATGGCGCGTGTGGTGATGAAAGAAGAGGTTTGAAGAAGCCCAGGGCCTAGAGTGAGCAAAGAGCTTTTTGAGTCAGGAATTCAATGGACAATGGACACGTGTGACGCAGTGAGAAAACGAACCATTACTTTTACTGTAAGCAGCAATCTTGTAGTATATAAGAGTGATTGTCCTGTAGTAAAGAGCTACTGTACTGGTAAGAGGATCACCACCCAAACACTGCCGAAGTTCGATCTTCGAGAATGCCTGCCAGTTACGGGGGTTATGGTCTTCGGTTCATGGTGGTTTTGTGTCTTAAGGCCTCCACGGTAGCGCCGCGCGGGCAAAAAGAGACAACGGCTACAAAGGCTTTTCCAATATGTTTCAATTTTTTAAATTGCCTTTTTGTCCACAATCAGTAGTCCGGTGGTTGTGGGATCAACACCTTGCAGAAGTATTGACCACATCTGACCATTGGTTTTTTTTGTTTTTTCGCATCAGAAGATGATGTGGACACACCAGATTCATGAATACCCGAACATGAAGTGAATCATCTAGCTAGACCTTTACCTACTGAAAAATAGCAACATCAAGATTCACCTACTGTATTTTGTAATTCAATAACTGCCTACTTCACCTTTACCTACTACATGTATTGCAGTTTAGTTTTCTGTTGTAGATTGTTGTAGGTTGTAGGTTGAGTCTTGACCCACAAAGAACATGAGCACACATGAGCACACTGGCCATTTCCGCGGCATGACCTCGTCTTCAGGCGGCACCCATATAGCGTGGTGCTCTTTGATGAGATGGAGAAGGCACATCCACAAGTGCCTCAGCTGCAGTGCCTCGTGGTGCGAAGAGTCCATGCGTTCCAACTCCTCCACGTGAGGGTCGACCCTCGCTGCCGCGTTCGCCTCCCTAGTCGCTCAAGAATCTCATAAACATCTCATCAAAAGTCATGCCGCTTGGCCTGCGAAGTGGCAGGGGTGCATGTTTGTGGGGACCATGTACAGATTCAAGGACTTTCTGATGATTTCCTTTATCTATCCGTGGGTGAGCGCTTGTCTTGGACACTCACGTATCCCCTCTTGGGCAGGCCTCCAAAGCTCTCCGAATCTTCGACGGATCTCTTTGTCCTCGGCTGCAGGTCCTGAATGTCTTGCTGCAGCTTTTGGACGATGGACGAATCACCGACAGCCAGGGCCGAACTGTGGACTGCAGCATCCTAGCTGATTCCAAGCCGGGGGTTGCATTCCATTTCTCACTTCAGCATGCCTTCATGTGGGTTCAAGCGGTCATTCTCACACCGTGTGGTCCACTTTGTCCGTCAGTGAGGCAATTGTGTGGTGATTTTGACCTCTAACCTCGGCTCTGAGCACCTCATGCGAGCACTGGGCACAGGCGAAGTGAGCGCCGGAGCGGAGACCGACCGACCGTGTGATGGAGCTGCCAGATGCAGCAGACAGCAAGCTCTTTTTTGGGGAAGTTTTGATCATGGCTCAGCGATATATATATATATATATTTTTTTTTTTAACCTTATGTTTATATGTGTTCCTATTTTATTTTATCTGATCCACTTATGTACAAACATTTGTTAGTGTCTTGACGTGTATACCTAACATTTGTGACTTTCTTTTTAAACAACAACTAGATGATACTAGATGTATTTGTATATTCATATGTATATAGTAGTTTTCTTTTTCTTGGTACTCGGTTAGACCGATGCAGACTTTTGCTCCTTGATTCATAAGATTCCTAATGATTCCTCCGCAATTTGAGGAGCAGGTCGCAGTTTCCTGCACCAGGCCTACAAAAACACGGAGAGCATTCATTCCAACGTGTTTTCACCACAAGAGTGGTCAGTAGCCCTGGAAATGGTGAACAGTTGCGCCTTGATCGCCCAAGAAGGTGAAGCACAACCCCAGAACCAAGAATTCAGGCAGAAACTGTTCCAATGACTTTTAAGTAGTGTTGCTTAGGCATGCTTGGGCTATGAATTTGATTGATTGTCCCAAGCACTTACAAGGGCCCACAAGTGAACGAGGTACATGTGTTTACTATCCAATCACTGACCAAGTGTTGCTGGGATGATTCCGCTAGACTAGATCTCTTGCTTTTGACCTCTTCCCCGCCAGGCAATCCTTCAGAACTGGAGCGAGCCAAGGACCATTGCAAGTGGACAAGTTCAGTGTTACATGGGGATTCATTCCAGTCGTACTCGTATCACCAAGGTTAGATTAAGCAGCTACGACCCCAAATTACCTAATCCCGCCTTTGAGAACTTGGGGGGTTAAAAAGGCAAACATGATTCTGCTTTGATGTGCTTGGTATTGTCTGAAGATCTTTGAATGCTTTCTACGACTTTCTGCGGTGTATTTCCAGCATGAGTTCATAATATCAGCTCATCCGCATTGTCAGACGTCAGCAGATGACCCGGCCTTGGATCCCAAGCCATCTAAGAACTTTTCCCCTAGACCCTAGACTGGCTCAACCGCCGAAAACCACTCCAATGTAAGCCACATTAGACACATGAAACATCGTGAAACCCACACGACACTTTCCACAAGCACATCCCAAAGCCACGAAAGCGTGTCTGGCTGGAAAGCGGACGAGCCGCACTTGTGTCCGGCTGGTCGCCTCCAGGGACTAGTGATGCAGAGCATCCGCCGCTCCTTGCGGCCAGAGCTGCTGAATCGCTTGGACGACATCGTGGTCTTCCAGCCCTTGAGTGGTTCCACACTGCGCCAGGCCTGACCGTTCACATTGATTGGTCTGGCGTTTGTTCTATTTTTATTTTTTTGGAGGGTTCAAGTCAAGATCAGATCAATCAGATCGGAGTGCAAGTCCTGTAGCTTGATTGAAACATATTGAAACAAATCCTCAGAGGCCTCTCCCTGAGAAAACCGAGCCTTCCTACTAGTAGGCCGAGCTTGTGGTGGAAGGAGCCAAGGAATAGTACGTAGGGCTCCCAAGACCGCATCCACATGGAGGCCGCATCCACCATTTTGAGTTCCTCGACTCTTGAGGTGGTGCGCCTGCAGCTGGCAGATGTCTTGAAGCGCTTGGAGGAATTGGAGGTCACCATGCACGTTCGGGGCCCCGTGGGAGCGCTACGGAGAGCGAGACAGATGTGGTGAGACGGAGCGACGAGACGATGGAAAGGTGATCAGTAGATGTGATGAGGAAAGACGAGCCTGCTTGGTGACAAGGAAAGAAAGATCACCCAGATCTTCTACTCAAAAAGACATGGCTTGGAAATCTTCACAACCAAGCCATGTCGGACAATTCACTCACGACCAGGATGGTCCATCTGGAGCATGGGCTCCACATGCACTGTTCCTCGACATAGTCGGGATTGTGACACCAGTCTTGTGACCGTTATGCAATGATGTTGGACTACTTTTGGGAGTTTTTATGTTTTTACTTTTTTTAGTAAAAGGATGTCATGCAAGACCATCAAGGACCGTCACAAGTTTTTGCAGAATCTGGGCTTTATCCACTATCCACGGAGCCAGGATTGATCCAGATTACTCTCTTGGGGAGCTTGGAGCTGATAGTGGGGCCATAAGTTTCCAATTCAGCACCCCATACAAGACTTTTTGTGGTATTTTCCCTTTCCACAGGTGATTGCTATATGAGTTCATGGGAGGGCAGGTGGTCATGGAGGGCTTTGAACCATCGGCCACCACTTGAATGATGTCGTTAAGCTACTTTGAAGAGCGAGATTAACTATATACTTAAAGTCAATTAAAATCAGATAGAGTCAGTTTTAACCATTTGGAAAAATCACAACCATGTTTGTGCTCAAATTTTTACCTTTTCTTCAGCGTGACCACGGAGGAGACCAAAGAACTCGAACAGCGACTTTTCCGGGAGAAATGAGAACTGAGAACAGGATCCACCATTTGTGCCAGGTCAGCGATGCGGCCATCGACTTTGTCCTCAAGGCACGGCCGAGGATCCCCACGACATTTGCTCTGACCTTGGTGAATCCACAGATCGAACACCAGAATGAAGACTGTCGACAGATATGGGTAGAAGGAGGAACTCAGGTATTCATAGTTTAATCAATGAATCAATGATCAAGGGCCAAGGTCTTTTAATTGGACGGCCGGTGGCTACAGTGGCAATAGCATTTGCAGATCTGACCCAGCAAGCTGCACCTTCTTCTTGATGTTGGCTCTCCATGTCCGGAAGAAGAAGTCATACTTCCACTCCTGCATGCTGTGAACAGGAGGCACACGATCCCGAGCTGGGCGCGCGCCCATTGAAGAGGTACCTGGAGCGTCATTTGGTGTCCAGGTGCACGACACAGCGGGCACAAAGGGGGCGCATGGCGCAGCGCGCGCGTGGCCGTAACTTATGGCCTGCAAGAGATGGTGTGGCGTCTCTGGATGATAGCTGTTATGATAGTTGTGGAATCATATATATATATATATTATATATATATATGTGGAATCAACAAAAAGTAATTGAAAGGAGATGCCTTCACTTGTGGGATATCAATTTCATCTTTTCACCACTTCACTTAGAGGTTTGAAGGAAGGCTACCACACAGCCACGGGCGTGGCGTTGCGGCGTTGAAGGCTTAGTACCATGATCTTGGACGACAGCTTGACCGCGGGCAGCGTGGTCTACGTGGACCGGGCCATGCGCAACGGCAAGGCGCGGTTCAATTGGGCGCCCGGTGGCGCAGAGGGGTGCTTTGGGCGCTCGTTGTCACCGGAAAGTCAATAGAAAAAGCTTTGAGTGCTCAGAGCGCTCACAGTTTCTGTCCGACTCACAGGTAGAATTTGGTGACTGGGACCTGGCAGAGGACCACCAACGCAGGTTGACGACCATTTTTGGTTTGATTCCTAAGTGGGCCAGTTGGGTGCAAGTCGGTTGGTTAGGCACGTGTGAGATTTGTTTATTTCAATTTAGTTCCAAGTTAGCTGATATTATGTGCCTCTGTAGCAGTGAGATGGCGTGAGTTGGGCATGGCTTTGACATCCCTTTCTTTGGTTTGGTGTTTCCTTTCTTCCCTGGTGCCATTTTGGATTTGCATTGAAGCTTTGGGGTTCCATGTGGGTGTGTATTTTACTAGCGAGACCCCTGGCCCAATGGGTAGACTGGTCAACTTCCCTTCTTGCTGGGGGGTCGAACTGGGACGTCTAATTTTTTTCGATTCACACACCCATATGGGTTTGTATTGTAACAGTGAGACCCCCAACCTAGGACCCAATAATGGGTTTCAGTTTTATCCGGGGTCTTTGGAGGCCTGCGTTTTCGAGTACGCATACACACCCATACTAATCTACACGTAACACTCGGGCCCATGGACCTTTTGAAGACGATCTTCGGCCCTGGCAGCGGCATTTCGTGAATGACCTTCAGATTGGGAGATACAGTAGATGCCCTCTGATGTCCAAAAAGCAATTTTTCAACATGAAGTGGCTATGGCTCAAAGGTTTGGCATAAACCCTTCAAATGCGCTGGTCGACCAAGTTGTGCCGTTAACCTGGTAGGTTCGGTTCGGTGAGAAACTTTCTGAGCCCAACCTGGGCCATAGATGACCATAGATGGCCATAGCCCAAAGGGCGGAATCCACCAGTCAGGAACAAGAAGCTACGAACGGGGCTCCTGGCATCGCTACTAGGAGCAAAGACGCTACTAGGGGCTCCTGGCCTTACTACTAGGAGCAATGTTTGCTACTAGGAGCAAGTGCATCGCTACTAGGAGCGATCGGACGCTACGAACGGGGCAAAAAGCATCGCTACAAGAAGAACGGGGCGCTCCTGCCACCGGCCGCACCGGTCGGCGGTCCCAGGTGGACTGGGACTTCCAGGTGCGAAAGGGGCAGAAGCGGCAGCGAGTGGACGAGCCTGACTCGCCCATGTCGCTGAAGTAGGGCGCCTTGGTTCGTGTGAAGGGTAGAGCACTGTGAACGGGTAGTGTGAACGGTAGGACATGGATTGCTGGTGGATGGCTGCGAAGACCGCGAAGATTGAAACTGTAGGATTTGTGCTGGTTGGAAGAACACGAGTTTCGGAGGTGCAGCACAAAGGGGTTAACTTTTAGCAGGCGATCAACAGCAGTGGAGCTTTACCGCATCTGAAATCTGACCAAGTGGGCGTTTGGAACAATACCGGTGCCCCTTCATTGCGTACCAAAAGAGTTTTCCGGTTCCACATCAGAACCAAAACAGGTCAACCACATTGAAAAGTTCAGTGCAGCTCGGACCAGCAACTGAGGACACATCATGAGGGACGATGCGCCCCATGCGAGTCAAGACTCACGAGGAATCTAGTAATTCTCAGCAAGGAATTTGGCTCGCCCAAATTCTGCTAATGTGAGCGGTGGCTTGCCTTGCGCAGCTGCCTGTGAATTTCCAGCCTTTCTGTGTGTGAGTAGGTGAGAGTTCCGAGCCAATGGATGTTTCTAAGCTCATTATGTTTCAGGGTTCATGTACAGGGCCTGCCAGGCCAACCCGTCTATTGTTACATTTCGACCCAGCCATCTGTTGCCGACAACAGAGCTGGGATCTGGAGTCAAGCCCGCCCGCTATAGGGGTGAGGTTAACACTTCCAAAGACCTTGATGACAGCAAAAAGGGTATCAGAGAGGAGGCATGGCGGTGTTGGCAGTGATAGACAAGTAGAACAGCCGTAGCATAGACACTATGACCACAAACACATGCAACCGATAATCCTCACATCCGCTTCCAGCAGTTTCTGATCTTCAGCCAGTATGATCACGCGCACGACCCACCAACTATATAATCACATCTATAATTATGGATACATTGCATTTGTGGGTTTGGGCAAGGAATCCCTGCGGTTCACTTGAATATACTATATACTTGACACTAACTTTATGCGCGCCTTCTTTGAATATCCAACCTTTGGAGGACTAGCTCCGGACAGTCCGACTGGCCAGGCATTTTTGCCTCCACCAATGCACAGCCGCAGGCCGCAGCTTAAGTCAGGCGAAGGGCCGAAGGGGAAGCTGCCCAGCCATCCACCCCCTCCAACCTAGTAGCTTCTTGTTACCAAGAAGCTTCAAAGACATACTAAAAAGCTTTCCTGTTACTACAGGTGAAACGATTCCCAGTGAAATGATTCCCACAGAAGCTTCTAGTAACCCATCCAACAGCGACCAAGTTGCCATTCGGACCTGTTGACGGACAAGTTCTCTTCGAACATGAGTAGGTTTTTGCTTGCTGCACACAATTTTGTCATATGCCCAAAAGAAGTTGTCAGGATTTGTCATGCAGAAAGTTTCCTGATGGATCGAAGCAATCTGAACGGATGATGATTTAGAAGATTCTGACCCATTCTTTCAGCTAAGGGAGTTCCACCACTCAGGACTCAGGCCGCATTGGTCATTGGACAATTCATTTCGTCCTCGATGTCGGCGCGTAGGTTGCCTTTGACGCGGCGGATGCCCGGTGACGACCGTTTGCACGCCTGCCGACTAGTTACCCGCTGGGCAGTGCGAGCAATGCGCGCCAACACGTGGCGGCGCTGACGTGGCGACGTGGATGTTGAGGTTGGGTCCAAAAACAAGGAGAACGGGGATGAAGGGTGTTCAGAGTATTCAGGAGACTCATGAGAAGCTATTTCTTATCTGAATATAATTGAACCATACCTGTTATATATATTCGTACAATAATTGAATTAGTTAATTAAAGTATAGCACAGATCTTTCAGGCACATGAAAGCACAGCAAGAAAGGTTGAAGAGTTTTGGAAAACCATGGCGCTCCAACGATCCCTTCCTTGAGCGCATCATGCCCGCAAATTCGTCCCAAGGCCTGATCCTGTGGAATGAACATATACTGGGTATATATGTCCTAACAAGAAGCTACTAGGGGCTCCTGGCATCGCTACTAGGAGCAAGTGCCTTACTAGTAGTAACAAGAAGCTATTAGAAACCATACATATATTTTAATTAAGTAAGTAGAGATTATATATATTATGTATGAGCGGCTAGTGCGCACGGCCGACCCCAAGAACCCAGGAACATGCTGAAAACTGCGTCGATACCGATGCTTTGGGCACCAGAAAAGTAAAACACACTGTAAAAACCATTGTTTATTTCTTGCTCCCAAAGCAAAAAGCATCAGTAAATATCGTTATCTTTGGCGTCCTGAAAAACCTTGTTTTGGCTTGCCGTTCAACAGCATCAGTATTTACAGCAAAAAACCTTGTAAATGCCGCGTGTTTTTCCTGCAGAGGTTGAATGATGTGTGTATAAATATATATATATATACATACAGTGTATGTAGGCGGATTTTTGGCAGATTTGTGGTAATGCGACATCACAGTGACGTCGCGCCGCTCCGCTTACGCTCACGTTCATCGTCCTAGACCGGGGTCGGGGGATAATATACTGAAACTATTCAATTATATGTGTCAGACACAAGTTATGGCCAAACTTGGATGTAGTGCCAAGAGCTAAAAACGTTGCCCCGACCCACGTAAAACTATACGATATATTGTAGTGCTACGCGGAAGGAACCATGCGCGGTCGTGCGTGCTACATGCTACATGGCACGGGCGAGCGAACCAAGAGAATCCAAGACCCACGAACTGCTTCCATTCGTTTTCTGAGACTGTGTTCAGAAACATATAATAGACAGGCTCTTCAATCATGTGCTCTTGCTCCTGGGGTGCCAGATGGCAAGGTATTGTTTTGATTTCTTGTGTTTATACAATTTGCGATGCTTTTTGATACCCCACATCCAAAAAACACAGTGAACTCTACCCGCTTTATCTTTTTTGTATTTCCAAAAAACTAACTTTTGAGAGCAGAGGCTCGCGATGACGATTGGACCCAGGCCTCATGCGGTTATATCCAAAGCATTTGAAGCCATCAGCCCGCCTACTGCTCGTCACCTTCAGAGATTGCGAGCGCCATTCCAGCTGGGCTGATGGCACGAGACAGTCAGGGATTGAACAAGAAATTGAAAGAGATTTGTCCATAGTTTTTGCATGTTCTGACATCGGTACCATAGATGGCCATTGCCTTGGCATGCCTTGGCTGTTCCAATCATGCTCCGACCTGTTTTCAATTTGGGATCTGGGATTGCTAAAATTTAACTGCCCATAGCACATTGGAATTGGAATGTGTGAAGAACTGAGGTGTCCCAACGTCCTAGTTTCAGGTTCCGTACTTGTCAAAATTCACATTTGCCACCTTTGATTTTTTTTTGTGGGACCGTGGGTACCCACTCATGAGACCAACATCCAATATCTAAATAAAATGAATCTAGACGCCTTCCGTATGTTCTTTGGCCTTAGGCAGAGGTCCCTGATGTCGACGAATTCGGACTCCGGACGGCAAAACCCCGAGGCTTTGTGATCATTGATTGCCTATACATGGTTTTGGGGGGATTCGGAGTGCTCCTGATGTGCTTGACTGATAAACATACTAATTACACAGGTATAGCCCGCTCCAAGTTCAGCGCCCAAGATTCATGTTCCTGGTGGATGACCTTGCCAGGCGTGCCTTCATGTAGCCCAACACCAACAAGAATGGTAGGCCAGAACTTTATCTACCCTGCTTTCAGTTTGGGCATGCACCAATTCTCTTTGATCTTTGATGACGAAGCCTCGCGTGGTCGATGGTCGTCCGCGGGGCTGGTATGTGGGCGATTGGCTCACTGCATGCTTTGACCCCTACACGGTGAAAAGATGTGAAACATGTGTGAGTCAGCGAAGCACCGTTAAAAAAGAGCATGTTTTGTCACTGCAACAACAGTCCTGCAGCGTGTAGCTACTAGTACGTGGCTACCGTTGTAGACCGTTCTGTTTTGGATTTGGCGGCGTAACCTTTTGAAAGGTGATCCTGGCAGTGCTGAACACCATGGCCCATGGCACGGAGCATCGCATGTATCTCTCGGCTCGAGCGAGAAATACAGACCAGGACAACCAACACCCGGTACTGAATCGACACCCTCGGTATTGAACCTCAAATATCCGCAGAGGCCACCGGGGGGTCGGTGGGGAACAAATTGGCCGAGGGCTGCAGGTGGTGACAGGCAGGTCAAATGCTATTGTTGATGGCGAGTCCTAGCCGGTGTCGAGCGTTGGAATTTCCCTGTTGCTGTTGGGGGAATTACGGATTTCGGTGAATCTCTTCAGCGGGTGCATGTCCTTTCACTGGCATTCACTGGCCAAGTTTCGACAAGATGAGCCCGATGAACTGATGAAGTTCAGATTTTGCTTTAACAGATAAATTGCAAGCTTCTCTTGGGGTTTGGACGGTTTGATGACCAGCGGTCAGCATAAAAAGATGTAGGCTGTTGATTTGAGGCAGATTGCAGGTGTCTCAAGGCACCCCGCACCCACACACAATCAAAAGGTGGAACATGTGACGCCAGTTTGACCGAAAGACCCGAAAGGATGCTACTTCTTGTTCCGGGCCTATTTTAGTGGTCAGCAGAATGACCAGGGAAAGAATCGAGAAGAAGCTCTCTTTAAAACTTGTTTTGAAACTTCAAGGAGAGCTGACAGCAAGTCAAAAGACAGAGAACATGCAACAGTGATTGTTTTGGTGGGTGTGACAAAGGGGAACCAAAGGACTCTTCTGACTCTTCCTTTCCAGGAAACAAGTCATTTTGTAGATGATGAGGTTGTGCTTGCCAGTGTAGCTGGGATTATCCATGTAGATATTCCTCAGCAACTCACCACATGTTGCAGGAATCGTTTGTCTTTAGCCGCATCACGGCGCCAGGCCCAGTCTCTGATCAAGGCCATTGCCTATCTTTAAATCCCAGCATCTTGGCCTGACCAGACCGGCCGAACAATGTGGACGCCCCCCATGAATCAGATGCCTCAGATGATCAGCAGGAATTCTCCTACTACATATGAACAGGTGGGAACAAGTCGTTTGGGTCTGTCAGACGTTCAGTGATTTTCAGACATATTCAGACATATTATGACATATTCAGAGATCAACGACCCCCGTTGCAGGGAGATTGGACACTCTACGCCTCCAAAGACCTAAGGTCTGCTTCGCAAGCACCAGACCTTTATAGGATCCAGCTTTGAATTGACAATGCGGGGTGCTCTGCCGGAAAATACTTGGGGTGAATTCGAATCCTATGCCGAATGCTATTGTGGATTCATTCCCGTCTCCATCCATATACGTAAATATTCTTTGAGCATAGGACAGACCCAAGAATCCCCAATCATGTCCCTCTCAGCTGTGGTAGACATGTCATCACTTGTGTCCCAGGTATGCAACTCGACATCCGCAGCATGCTACGTCCCTCAGATTAACATCAGCATGTCACGGAATTGACAGGGTCAGCCATTTGTTCGATGACGCGTGCTTTTACGATTTATATGGAGGAACCGTTGTCAATTCTGTATGGCCTTACGACACGCATCTGCACCTGCGTGTCGAAAATTTTGTGGGCCTCTCGCACGTGGCAGATCCGGCCTCGCGGGGCAAAACTCGGAATTTAACCATCGTGTTTGAGAGAGGTGAATTCATTTTTTTAAAAGCATTTTGTAACCATTGTGTGAACTGTGTGAATCATGTGATGTCCTCTCTGGTGGTTGTGTTGGCTTTTCGATTTGAAATCATCAAAGCCAGATCATGGCGAAAGGGGAAATAGCATGAGCTCTCCATCTCGGGACCCTTTTTTATCGGAGCCGCATGGATCAAACAATGAATAGCACGAGCTCAGAAGCTGCAAGAAAAAGGGGTCGTTACGGAGTCCGTGAAATTGACTTGTTCTGTATGCATGCCAAGACCTCCAAGGGTTTCAGAGCATTTTTTAGGAGATCCAACAAGGAGTGATGAGAGAGGTTGACCAAAGCAAAGGGCATCACCTGAATGTTCAGAGTCGAGAAGTCGCTTGACAAGCTGAGTCAAGCTGTTGACAAGTCTGGGGTTTCACAGGACAGACAGGCAGGCAGACAGGGGCAGGCAGGCAGGGAGGGAGGGAGAGGAGCAACTGTGCCTTTCACTGTGAAAACCGTTTGCTCCTTCGGGCCGACTATCCTTTTTTTCATTGGACCTTGGTCACCTTGGTCCTTCAACTTCGAGGTCACTTCGGCTTCGAGGCCGACCTCCGTACCCAGTGCATCATTTTGGCGGCTTCGGGCCCCAGTGCTGTCCGAATGAGGGATCGATGTCCAGCTGCGGAAATTGGACATGACATTTAAGTGATTTGTTTTTTTCGTTTCAATTTTCAATGTCTCATCGACAAACCAGGGTCTCAGAGCACAAAGCCTCTCCCTGGCATCCCTGGTCCTTATTCCAATCCACGCACTTGGAACACTTTGTGTCTTGCCAAGCAAATTTCAAAATCCTTGGCTAGCATTGGTATACTCAAACAGCTCAACCACATATCAGATGTTTGATACTTTTGTGAAAAGGACATAAAAGGATGACAGTGGCATACAGTGGCATCTATGAAAAACGGTCACGGACCCACCACATTCAGCAAACAAACACCCTGGCCCGGTAGCAAAACCCCAAGATTTGTTTTGAAAACCAAACAAACTCCCCAAGCTCTTTAAGACCAAACTTAGGATCTTGGACCTTAATCTCCTTCAGCTACTCCAAAGAGCAATCAACCCAGCACACGCTTCCGCATGCAAGTGTTTCTGCGCGTTTTTCGAGTGGTACGCAAGCACAGTGAGGGCATCCTGACCGCTGTGTTGCCCCTGGAGATCCACCACCTTCTTGCAATGGTGTTGGGGGCAGTCTGAACCTCAGCCTTGATGCATCGTGAGACTGAAGGCACACAGATAAGCTGCCTCGAAGACATTCATATCCTTGGAACAACAAAAGGTAAGTGAATATTGGCAAAAAGGCTGTATGCCCAGGGAAATATACTAAATATACAAGTTGATATAACATGAATCAAAGACTTTGAAGTGGTTTCATGTGTGGTGCCGAGAGAGGTTCGAAAGCGCGACGTGATCGCAAAACAAAACTTGGTTCCACGTGCTGCTACTGTATAGTCTCGTGACCCACTCTCTAGAATCCCTCAAAAGCCAAGATGGAACTCCTGAAGCGTGGACACTCATAGTTTGTTCGGGATCACAACATCATCATATATCATCTACGTCCATGGGCTTCACTTCGCTTCTTCCTGGGCACGAAGCATGGCACGGCGAGTGGATGCTGCTTCACCTGTCCGTCCAAGGCGGGGTACATGTTCCTTCAACAGCTTGAGCCCTCGGTGCGCCGGCGGTCCGAGCTGCTGGAGGTGCCGGCCCGAGCGACCTGTGGGTCGAGCGATCTGTGCGACGATGTGTACGGAGGAAAGATGAGAGGCTGTGAAGATGAACAGCTGAAAATAGATTAAAGATAGGGATCTCTGAATTTGTTTGCACATGTTGGACATGTTTGCACATCATTGTCCGTTTCTAGTCCATTTCGAGAGACTTTGGACCGATGCTTTTTCTGGGGTCGGTTGGGTCGGTTTCGATGGGAAAAGGTCGTTTAAGCTAGTTTCACTCTCTACTTCAAGTCGTCCCTGTCTCAAGGTTGTTTGGGAAGAGCAAGTGATGTGCAAGTTAATCGATACATAAATATCTTGTCCTACTTGGAGAGGGTTGTCCCGGCAGACTTTAAACTCCGTGTAATATACTGTCTTTTGGGGTGAGTATTTCAATCACAAACCTAAAAGATACGTATTCTTTTGGCATCTGCGCACCTGCCAATCCCGGTGTCGTCACTTGGAGGTCAAGAAACCGGTGCGACGCTCCGCTGGCTCCGCTGGCTCCGGCGTAGGCGCCGGCGAAGATCCTGTCATGTGATCTTCATTTCATTTTGATGTTTGAGCACTGCGGGCAAGCATGGATGTTTTGAATTGGACGCTGGCAACATTGTGAACACTTCTGGTTGGGTTACGCAGGCTGAAAGTGTGATGGGCGTTGTCATCAATCCTCCTGACAGGATGCTAGGATCTTTCGCGTTCCTATCCGGTTTTGCTAAGCTCTATGTAGAGTCCTTCGATCAATGCAGAAGGCCTTTTTAATGGTGAACGTTTGTCGTTGTTCTAAGCTTCAGAGTGACCTAGCAATCACTGATTCTGACGGATCGATTTATCGATACTCTTTCCCAGGGGTTGACTGACCATTTCAGCATTTGCCTACAAGCATGGTTGACTGTCCCGCCGTTTGAAACGAACACTCTGGATACCGTATACCAAACATATCCATTGTTCTTTAGGCTGATGACGACGTGCAAACATGACTCAGATGCAGGTCTCGTCATAATTTGGCGTTGAGGACACGTTGAACCAAGGGAGATCTCGAGCTCTGATATGTGGTGCAAAAGACATTCTCAACAAAGACTACTCAACAGTCCATGTTTGGAATGATTCATGATGACTCATGCTTTAGTTACTAGTTGCACATAAACAGTTTGCTATGTTTGGGCACCACCATGAGGTAGCACTCAATCATCAGCCAGGATAGTCAAGTTATCTGGTCTCGAAGCTTGATTTACTGGCGTTACTTTCTTTGACTCCTCCAGGTGCTGAGGAGAAGATGGAGAAGGAGAGCAGGGTCAAAGTTTCAATCTGGAAAGGGTCTCCTCCTGACTTCGAAAGACGACTGGATGTGGGCTCTCCAACTTCTCATTTGCACCGGAGCTTTGCCGCAATTCCGGTCCAGGAGAACGCCGAGCGTGTAGAACGACGGCCCAAAGAAGTGAAGAAACCCAGTGTCGTCCCAGTCCAGGTGAGGCAACGCACGCGGTGACCGGGTGGCGCGGAGGGTGCAGGGGCTTGGGGGCGGGGGGTTCAATAAGGAAAGTAAGGAAAGCATTTCCTGACTCAAACACTTTGGCTGATGTGATCAACGATCAGCGATCTGGATCTCTTCCTACTGGGGAAGATTATAGTGGGTTAAGTCCATTGTGTTCTATCTATCTATCTATCGATCGATCGATCGATCTATCTATCTATCTATCTATCTATGAATCTATGAATCTATCTATCTATCTATCTATCTATCTATCTTGTATATGTATATATCTCTTTGTGTACCAACGTTGTCAGGGTCTTTAGTGGCAACTGCAGTTGGAAGACATTCCCGACCCCCCACCAACGATGCTCCAATGTGCGTGTTCATGCCACGTGGTGAAGGAGAAAGACACTTTGCACCCAGGCCAACTTCAGGCCAACCAATCTTTCACAATGTCTTGGAAGCCACAATGGGGACATGGCGAAGGAGGGTTTATTTGCAATCAGCAGACATTTGCTGAGCGGATTGGATGATAGAGGTGGACAGCCTTTGCGACCTGATCCCGTTCGACAAAAAAAAAGAAACACGTCTCGTTCTCCGTAACCCAATAAGTTGAGCTATTTCCCCCAGCCAGTATGTACCACTTCCCTGCTGCCCACTCTTTCCAGGCACCCAAGTTTCAAGCCATCGGCTGGGACGCAGAGGTTGCAGCGCCTGGACGGGCAACATGGGTTTCAAACCAACCAGCTGAGGATGCACGATCCATTTTTGGGGAGCTGAGGATGTAACCAATGACATTGTTTCAGCGGGGTGTCTGAAAGAATAGCCTCTTAAAGAGAGAGGGAAAGAGAGAGAGAGAGATTCCTGATTGGATCCATGTCCTTTTTCCATCCGCGTCGCAGCACTCAGATTCTTGGAAAAACATGGATTTACTTCACGATAGACAACTTTTCGTTAGTAATGACACGCCATTTTCAGACAGGTTGCAGATCGTGGTGGTTCCGTGGATATCATGGCAGCCATGGGGAAAGGCTGAACATGAGATACGAGATCAACATGCTATGAATCCCTGCACCTCCCTGCAGGGATTATCCTTCAGGTATCAACACCACAGATATCCACAGATACATTAATTTAGGGATGCACCCTCCCAGCATCCCTGATCCAAGGTTTCTCACGATTGTCCCCATGAGAAACCATTGGGAGTGCGCTCATGTTCAACGGGCGACCGTTTGCACAACATTTGGAGAGTGGGAATCATGGGAAATTCCATGGATATCTCATGGGAAGCATCCCTTTCACTTGGTTTGATCGGATCTTGACATTTGTTTGGGAGTTGCATGGAGTTGCTGTGGCAATCTTCGATGTGGTTCATCGGCAGATGGCTAGGCACCAGACACACATATATATATATATATGATATATGATAGCAGCACTCTTTGCGATGCCTTGTTGTGTTCTTGGAACGATTCAATGATGTTTGGTCGACATTACCTCAATGAACTCCGGTTTCTTGTTTGCACCTTGCTTACTACGCACCTCGGAGTTCAAACATCGCATGTTGCAGCCCAATCTGAGGAGTTGCTGCAGAATATCGTGTTGCACCTCGGCCAAATGAAACTCACCCGCTCAGCGGAAGCCTCACCACTCTGTGGATTGGATGTGGGCCTGGAAATCGGAGCGGCTGAGCAAAGGACAGGTCAAAAGGGTCAAACGATAGTCCATACCTCAAAAATATCCCGAAGAATCTCCCAATTTAGATGTTCAACTGTTAAATCCATTCAAAAAAGATCCGTCCCTTGGTTCGTGAACACGAGATGCTGCGTGATGATCGAGGACCTTTGGAACAAACGTCGGGCGTGGTCCGTCGCCGGCGTGGACCATCGACCCAAAGGGGTGCGAAAACACAAGTCACAGGGATTGGAGAGACTTAGACAGAGGGATCTGCAGAGAGACTTTGGAGAGTCTTTGTCATGATTTGAAGAGACTTTGATGATCTTTTTGTATGTACCAAGTACCGTTGATGTTTTTTTTAAGAAGGTTTTGTGGAGGTAACCTTAGGACGGGCCGGGCTATGGGTCCAGGTTCCTGGGTTGAGCACCTTTGGAGAAAAACAAGTTCATTCCAGAATGCGCCATGCTTCGGTCACGATGGATCCCTGGCCCAGCCTGGCCCCTGGGCTGGGGAGAGACAGTTGAAATCACAGGTTGAGATGGACTGTTGCTTAAGTGCCTCACGCCTGCATCGATACCAAAAGTCTGTAGTCCTTCAAACTTCTTTTGAAGTAGGCCACACATTGACTTTGTCAGGGCACAACTTTGACTTCAAACAAAGCCACTCATGGACAAAGACCCTGCACTTCACCACACTCTCTTTGATTCGGAGCGTGCGGAAGCCTGTTTCTGATGCTTTCCAAGGACCAGCAGCGTCCGAGCCCATGTGGATTCTATCACACAGAGTCCTGGCCTGGCACAGGACACAGTGCGTCAGTGCCTGCTGTGGCCTCAAAGGAGCGCCTTTGTAGGCCAAACAATGCAAACACACATGCCGTGTTGTGGGGGATCGACTCAGTCTTCCGGCTGTGGTGCGCGTGCGTCGACCGGGAGGAGAGGATCGGGCGGGATCGACGGCCTTCCCAACTGATCCCAACTCTTGGGACCTTTGATCCCATCTTTTCAGGCCTTAAATCCCCTTATCCATGGGGCATCATGGCCATGGTTTGGATTTGGCATGGGAGTTGTCAGACAACCTTTTGAGAAGCTGGGAGCTGCACTGCACTGGCGAATAGACACTTTCTACGAAAGAACGTTCTTTTGAGACTTTAAAATCAGATCTGAGATCTGATGCATTGCAACAATAGTGATATTTGGCACCTCCGGAATGACGTCCTGTGGATACCGCAAAACATAGGTCAGATGAACATTGAACGGTCAAGGGGAGTTCCCAGGAACAGAGTTTCGGTTCACAGTAAGGTGCTGTTTTCAGGTCTCAGATGTTAGTCAGAAATTGAGTAACATCAGATTATCGAACAAAGCGCCTCACATGGAGGCTGACTGGAGCGCCTTACATGCCTTCGGCTTTGCACATGCCCAGGAAAGTGAAGGATTTGCTCTTGCCCGTCTTGCCATCGGCCAAAATAGATGGCTATGTCATTGCCAACCCTTTGTCTGGAACGGCATTTGGCGTGGCTGTCCCTGATGTGGAGATCGTGGTCCTTTCAACACAGGTGACCTGCGCCGTTCGGCGTCAATCCGGCAGATAACATGGGCCCGTGGGTGTATGATGGTGTATGTTTTGATGTGTTTTTGCGCACATTTTGGACCTGGGTTGAGTCCCCATGGCCAAAACGGTTGAGCGGTGTCCGGCGGGGACACCTCCAGCTGGAACGACCTCATCGAAGTGGAAGAGCTTGTTGAAGAACATGGTCTCCAGGTTCGAACGGTTCCATTTTCGTCATCACGTCAGGCGCATTGGACTCCCAGGGTTGGCAGAAAAGCAATCTTATCACCTGGACAGAGCTTCAGACCAAAGGAATTCTGGAGGTATAGATGAACCTGGTCTTGTTCCAACATGTTCCAACCGAGGGGCCGATCGGTGAGCAGGGTTGCAATTAATGTGGTCTGGTAGTCGGGCCCTGGCAGTATTCCCGGCAGTATATCTAAAGGATGTTGAAGGTCAATGATCACAAGAATCACAAGGGCGTTCTATTTTGTAATGTAAATCTTCGGTTTCGTCGGTGGGTTTTGTTGCCTTTGTGCAATTCTGGTTTGGAGTTTGGGTGCCCCTGCATCCATCGCAGCTGTTGGCTGCGCTTGGCAACAGCAGGTTGGAAGTCCAAGGATGTCCAAGGATTGTGTCCCAGACAGCTGTTTCTGCCCACGTCGGTTGGGCAGAAGTATTCAGATGGTGTGGACCCTCTGAAAACGAGCCTATTCAATCAATTCAGCATTTCGGCCAGGCCACAGGGGCGGAAGCCTCGAAGTACCAGAAGTCTTTGATCCGCACCTGTCGGGCGACCTGGAGAGGACGTGTCCAGACCGGGAGACTCAGCGACACCGGCGAGGGACCGTGTCCATCGCCCGGGGGGTCGGGGAAATCAATCAAGAGTGCAGGTGTAGTTTGTATATATTGATGATGATTAATTATTTGCGACGAAGACCTTGGTCTTCCCAAGGACAGTTAGGTTCAGGATATTTTTTTGATTTTTTTTGTGAACGCATATCACCATATAAACAATCAGGTTCTAGCATGGTTTGTGTTCTTTATATTTCCAAAAAACAAATCCACTGAACCGGTTCCACGGTGAATCGTCCGAGGCACCGATCGCCTGGTGACGGGCGGCTTCAAGTTTCGTCGCTCCGCCTTTCGCGGCCACGAGCCGAAGGCGGAGCAAGACGGGAGCGAGACCGGAGTCGGACGGTGGGTGGTGGATGCTGCTGGCTGTTGTTGTCGTTGCTGTGGTTGTCGTTTTGTTGTGTTGTTTTTTTTTTTTTTTTTATCCCTATTGACATTGTGTGCCACTGTCGTGGTTTGATTTGGAAGAGATCGAAGGATTTTGTGTGGATGTGTAAGTATGGCGTGTGTTCAGTTGCAGCTTTGGGAGCCGGGTAGATGGAGATTGAAGTAAAATCGTGAGTTGAGATGCAGAGCATAGAGACCACGCAGTTTCTCGGGTCTTGGATGCTTGCTCTCTGAATGACCGCCCGAACAAGAAAGTGCAGGGTCGGGGAAGGAGAGCTAATGACAAGCAGTGCCATTAGAAACTCGACGAGCAATCCTTATGATGGCCAGTTGCGACATGTCTCCTACAATGAAGGCGTCCTCGAAACAGATAGACCATGGGCGATGTATATAGTGGGTATACACTATAAACTATCCAAGCAAGACAAGGACATGGTCCACAATGCTTGACACGTACCACATTCGATCTACTTCCCGTATGACTTCAAGTTGTGAGTTGGCTGAAGGGGAATATCTATGACCTGACCATACGATATACCTTTTGAGATCACTTGAGCATACCCAAGTCATTCCTTTGTAGCAGGACCCAAAAGGATGTCATTCTCTTCACAGGCCGCGCCGAAACTCTTCCTTCTCAGTCGTCCCAATTCGCAACTTGCAATCCTCGCCTGCCCAACTCCCTGCAGCGCCTGGACGAACTAGGACGCTACGAACGGTTCTCCTGGCCTTACGACTAGTAACAAGAGCGCTACTAGGAGCAAAGGGCATCGCAACTAGGAGCAAGGACGCTACTAGGGGAGCCTGGCCTCCGTTTTCCCGACACCAAACTGCAGTGCTGCAGGAGTTCGTGTTTCCTCCGCGTCGACGCTCCGCCAGGTGACCTTGATCTCCCCGCCGCAAAGTGGCCAGGCGCTTTGACAGCACTGCGTGGGCTTTGAACAGCTTCAACAGCTCAAGCCTATGTTTATCCAAATGAATCTTGGGATTGGAAAACACAATTTCTAAGTATATAGAAAACAATTACTGTAGACTCGAAAAGGATTATAGACTGTAATAGACCATTATCCCAGCAAGACACCCCAAACAGCGTTGTCCTTGAGGCCTGCAAGTCTTGAGGTGTAGCAGGTCTAGAGCTCTTGACACATTGGGTTCCAGAGAGATCTAGAGAGATCCAGAGGTTCTAGAGGTCTTGAGATCCAGAGATCTTGAGATCCAGAGAGATTTAGAGGTCTAGAAAGATCTGAACGCCTACATGTGTTTGCTACACATGTTGCACTATAGTTTTCCAAAACATGTTGCGAACATTCCGTGCGGTCCAATTTCCTCAGCCAGGTTTCGTTTTGATTTTGGGGATGATGTGCCGGTGTATTCCAAATCTAACTACTGGGGCTTTCAAACCAAGATTCCCAAGAGTGAGATCCCACAAGTCACAAGAGTGATTGGAATCCTGGACGGGGGGAGACTACAATATGAAACCCTAGGAGGTGAGCTAGGTGCCCTAAATCGTGGAAACTTTGCACCAACCGAAGATCTGAACTCACAATGTAATGATTGTCTTTTGCATCAACTCATTTTGATCATTGACCATCTTTCATGCGAGGACAAATATCCAACCTGCACTCGGTCATTCTCAGGATGGACACACCTTGACCTTCCCAGGCAGGAATCCCCTTCAACCTGGCAGTGAACGCAGCGACCCCCGCGCGTGCTGAGACCATTTTCCAAGCACCTTCGACGAGGGCTGAGTGGAGTTGAATTTGGGAACAGCACTGCAACCTTAGGTTGGCGGAATGTCCTCTAGCTTTCCCACAGCGATTGATAGGTCTGGGATGCACTAAAGATCACGAAAGTAACATCATGTAACATCAATCAAATGATCCCACTCAGTTTCAAGGGAGGTTCAACATGACAGAATGACCCTCGACCCCGACGGAAACATGGCTCTGGTTCAGAAATACGATTCAGGGATCTGCAGGTGTTTGTCGTTTTGTCATGTTTTGTCCTTTGCAAAGGTGTTTCGGCATCTTATTTTGGAACCACAACCATGTATCATTGTATCATCCTTTTGATCGAGGATTCCTTTTGACTGTGTCCACTACTACTGGATGGAGTCGGGTTGCGCTTTCGTCTTCTTCACGCTGCTTCTCATCCGTGGAGCGGCACTCGACGGGATGTGTAGTTCACCGACGCCACCCCCGAGGCATGTGAAAAGAACTCCAGCTGTGCCTCGCAGCTGATGCTGTGGCTCAGTAGAACTGGGTGAATGACCGGCTCGGCGGTTTTGTCCCATCTTGTCACCTGAAATTCATATCCAAGACTTAGAAGGGCTCTCTCCAGCTTTAGATTGAATGGATTTCAAGGTGTGGAACGCTTGCACTGGTCACTGGTTACCAAAGTACTTTGTATAACGGGTTTTGATTTAGTGGGGAAGGATTGCCTGCAGAAGGCTTGACTCGCTCTACTCTTTGGAAGCCCCAAGAGCGGACACGCCTTTAGCCAAGGCCACTGCACTTGAGCATGTCCAACACATCGCAAATCGGGCACACTGTATTTGAATGCACCGCTTGCTTTCAATCATATGGTCATATGGGTCTTTGTGGGTGTCTCTTCGACACCTCTTCCACATGCTAAACTGTATCCAAGACGAAGCTAATGCGTTTAACCCTTAACACAGGTTTTCTGAACCTCGAAGTGATCATTCCTGAACCCTGTCAACGATGTTGGGGTTTGTCCGGGTGGGAGATTGTACCGATGGCATGCAATCCACAACCTTTCTATGGATCTCTTTGAAGATATGTTTCACGACGGGTCCATTGATATTGAGTTGATCAAGTTGACATACCTCCAGAAGTGGTAGGGATGAAGTAATCCTATGATTGACACGAGAAACGACATGGCAGAGAAATGTGCAGTGGAAGGGACTCCTGTTCAGCGGTACCGTCGGATCGTTTATCCTTTTGAACAGCTGACTGTTTCTTTTTCTTTCAAGAAAGATTAGCCAACCCGAGAAGCGTTTTGCGTGTCTTTCTGAAGGGCCCTTCTCTTGGGGTCACGACGGTCACCACAAGAGCACAGAGAGCAAAGTACATCCCTTCAAAAGAACTTAGTTGTTTCCTCGTCTCTAGCCCCAATCAGTTCATCTAGTTTTGTGTATATCATTGTATATATATATATCCATTGTGGGATCAACTCAGGAGTTGCTATGATGTATCTTGCGATCATTTGGATCATCATTTGCATGGTATCATAGGATATCAGTGGTGTCAATGTTACATACATGGATCATTGGGGATCATCTTGGGCGACTGATCGCATCCACCAGGTTGGTGCGGCGGTGGGCAAAGGAGAGGTGGAAAGGGAGGTCAAATCGAAGAGGTGGTGGACAGGATGATGTAGTTAGTTGCAGGAATCCTAGCTCGTGTTGAGGGTTTCATTCCAAATTCATCTAAATAACAAGTTTTGCCAAGTGTCAACTGTCAATTAGTCAATGTTAGACATATGGCAATCGTAACATCTTTGATTTTGCTGAACAAGAAACGGACATCGGTTTGCAAGTGCAGCACCACCCGTTTGTAGAGGACACCTGTTTTGCCAGGGATGATGAGGATTGATGCCAACCCATATGGTGAACTCAAAAACACTGCCAGAACAGTGCATTGGTGGTGCTGTCAAGCTGCGAATGTGCAATCTATGATACAAACCTCTATCGATCGACAGACGAAATATAGGTCTCTTTCTATGCCCAATACATTACTTCCGATGACTTCGGATCCACGCCAGGATCGTGGCATCAGCCACGCTGCTAAGGGCCATTTGTCTCCGTACTGCTGGATGCTTTTGGCCATCTACTACCTTCAGGTGCAGCAAAAGAAGAGGGACAGAGGAGGAACAAGCTTCCTATGGCGATTGAAGAAGGTCTTGAAATGTGTTCAAAGACATGGGAACTGGGAACCAAACTTTCTGGTATTAATTTGATACGATCGTAGCGAGTACAATGCCGATTCCAACTAAAGTGGGGTGAACCAGGGGGTGGGCCAACCCGACCCACAGCCTACCGGGGTGCCCGAGATGAAGTCCTTTCTGCGGCTGCAAGCAAACACATCTCCACATCTCATCTCAGACCGATCCAAGCCCTATCCAACACCCCCTCTCCCCATAGAAGCAAACCTCTGCGAGTGGAACGAGCACAACACCTCGCATACTTCGCCGATGGGTCCAGTGTTGGATCCCCTAAGCATAGGCTGCTGCTGCTGCTGCTGCCGCAAGGGTCAACGAACCTGCTAGAGGGCCTGGTTGCTTCTGTACTGGCTGGGTTGATAGGTGGTCCTACGGAGCATAATATGTATACATACTGTAAGTTACAAGGAATGAAGTGACAGACTGATCAAACTTCTTCAATTCTATGACACCTGTTTTTGACATTAACAGGCAGGTTGCTGGATCACTTGATGCTCCTATCAGTTCTTTTCTTCCCTGGAATGTCCTAAGGATTTGTGCAACACAGTTTTTGCTGAGCTTTTCACGCACAGCATCTATTGTCCGTTGATCTGTTCAGCCGGGCAACAGTACATAGTTTTTCCCTTCAATGTTTCTTCAGCTTTCTCGGACCTGAACATGGACAACTGGATGTTGCATGAAACTGACCGGAGCCCAATCACCCCAACAAACTCCTTGGGGTCGTTCCATTGGGACCACCCACGGACAGACCCGGTCGCCGGTCGCCCTCGTCAGGAGGTCGGGGCTTTGAAACCTGGCCTCGGTCCCTTGGGCCGGACGCTCGCGGCGGACCGGGTGGTTTGCGGTTGGGCGGACGGTTTTGGGCGACTGGGTTTTGAAGGAAAGGAGTGGTGCCCACTGAGTTAAAAGCATTTTTTGAGGGATAGGCGGTTAGGCAGGAGTATGATCGGAGGGCTATTGATCCATATTGGTTTTGAGGATTGGCTTGGATTGGGTTTTCAGGTTTTCTGCAGACTTGCAACATCAGAAGAGGTTTAGAGTTTAGAGATCATTTTGCTGCACCGGGGGTGATCCTTCAGTTTCCGTTGGTCTATTGAACTTTTGGGAGGGGTCTGTCCTTGTGTTGCCTGCTTTTGGTAGTCTTGTGTAGCTGGGACCGACCCGTCATACGCTTGATATTGAATGTGACATGATATGAACATTATCCTTTGGGCACACCCCAGCAACAGTCCAGAAATGATAATATTATATACTGTATATATCTAATGTAATATATTATAATATTCTATATTGTAATATAATATAGTATAAAATGAAGTAAGCTAATGTCATATAAATATAGTATATGTACCGGGTCCTTCTATCAATTCACTACAATCTTGATTTCTATTGGGTGGGGAGAACCTCCGCTGCGAATCGCTGCGAGTAGTTGTGCTGTTTGATCGTTGGATCTTCGCCCTGCGACAGATCGAGGCTTCCTGAAGGCTTCGACTGATTTTTCGGGATCCAGCGGTGAGCTGCTGAAAGGCCGGAAAGCAGAACATCTCGAGACAGGTCGGGGGGGCGGAACATGCCCAGAGTTTTTCAAGTCTTCCACCCATCTAAGGTGATCCGTGGGGGATGGCACGCAAGGACGCTACTAGTAGCTCCTGGCCTTTCTACTAGCAGCAAGAAGCTACTAGTAGCAAAGGGCATCGCTACTAGGAAGAAGGACGCTACTAGAGTTTGGACGGTGTCCAAGTCATGACCCCACCAGGTTGTGGGGATAAGAGGATAAATGAGGCACACCCAAGTGGTTAGACCCCTCCATGAAGCATCCAGGAAGACCGGTTTTCTGGTCTGCAAGAAAAGGTCTGCGTGTACAGTGCAGGATTTGTGTCTTCAACTATATAGGTAGAGGATGACAACCCTTGATGATCCGTCATTCGGAGTTTGACAGTTCGTGGGGAGGTTGACCTGGGATGACCACAGGGATTTGTCTCTATGTTCACCCATGGGCACATATGACTACTGTAAATTGATCTCCAGCGCAGTCTTCGTGATCTTTGTGATACTTGTAGTCAACATGAGCCAACCTAGTAGCAAGGGCGCTACTAGGGGCTCCTGGCACTTCGTCCCCTCGGATGGTCGATGCCGAGAGGGGGAAGGGGAAGAGCTTCGGACGGACGAAGGCGGCCAATGGCGGCCGGCAGGCCCCATACACTTCAGGTTGATGGAGTATCACACGTCAGCTGAGTATGTTAATTAGCATAATTTGGAACTGTGTGGAATAAGGATTTTTCAAAGCGACGTGGGGCAATTGTGGGCTGAAGCGTAGAGCAGAGTGCCTTTGTCATGAATCCGAACGAGCATATGACATATGGCCCACTAGGTTTGGAGGACCAGACGCAGAGACCGGTGCATTGATTCACCCGATTGTTCAGGCTTCATGCACTTCTATGCCAAGTTTTCATGGAGTGAAGCCATCTCTGTGCGTTGTGGCCGACGCGTCACAGCTGAACTTTGCACTGACAGCAACTGCTTGTTGTAGAATCAGTGACAGAAAAAACGATGGGTGGGTCCGGCTTTTAGGCTTTTGAGTCACGAATAGAGAAACACCCTCCTGCCACCATGCACGAGAGCATGTTCAGTATGTGTTCGGTTCCTCATCACTGCATCAAACAGAGTTATATACTGTATATGTATATAATAAATACATATGTATATGTATATACTGTATATGTATATAATAAATACTGTATATGCATACATACATATGTATACTGTATGTAGTCATATATAGTAAATACATATGTTTAATTTCTTTGCAGCAAGTGGTCGGGGCCTGGCCTCAAGCCAATTCATTCCAACACATGAACACATTCCTACTGGGTGTGGCAGAACAATCATTTTTGTACTATGATGTCTCAGCGGTTTGTTTAGGAGGTGTTATCAAAACATATCAAAACATCTGAATCTTTATGCAAATTTTCAAATAAAGTGGGCATACATAATTCAAATCCCAAGCTAAAACAAGGCCACCAGGGTTCAGGGTTCCTCTATGCCGATTCACACTCATACGATTCGCATATGAGTCCAGACTCACCCTGGGCCCCAGAGAGCCTCCACCCCCAGGCTCCAGTGCCTTGCTGCCGTGCTTCGTGGAGAATGTTGGTCGCCCTGCTATTGAGGCAGGTCCCGGGTCGAGGGTCGACGGAAATCATCGAAATAGGTCCAGTAGGTCCTACTTGTAATGCTAGGGGATATATATATATGGGGGTTTCATATGAACAGTAGTATCGGGTCTGAGAAATTCACAGGATTAGATTGGACTCCTGACCTGCCACTCGCATTGCCGCACAGCCGTTACTGCTTGACCGCTTGCGCCACCAGCCAGTCAACCACCTCTGATTGTACCACAAACTGCCCCCACCAAGCTGGCAAAACACGGAAATGGACACATAAACCTGCTGCTTGGACTTCTGCCTTCTAGGATGATATGCTGAATCGAACCTTGGCCACCCAGTAGAAACTTCACAAAAGCTCACACCTAGTCCTACGATTGAGAGCCACCAGTCCAGTTCCGGTGGATTTTCGGGCTAAGCACGGGTGACTTCTTCCACACATGGAAGATTGACTGGCCATCGCATTTGGACGGAGACAAATGGACCCAAGACAAAGGATGGAGAAAAGGTTAAAGAATTAATGTGTGTTTGGTGTCTGAAAATCGATCACCGAAGGCTGCCTTCGGCCTGCAAAAGGCATCCAAAACCACTTTGATTCTTTTTTACCCAGACAGGACCAGGTTGGAGGTCCTGCAAGGCTCCCTGGGGGGTATAGTAGCTTGTGACATGTTCATGTTTGAAGCCATGTTTTTTCCACCAAAAAAAATGGTCAATCAATCCCCCTGGAAGGAACGAAACCTGCTTGGAGACGGTGCTAACTCCAAGCATTTTGCTTGGTCTTTACATGTTCGCACATGTCTTCACCAGGAGCACCCTGGAGGCATGGACCCCTTTCTGATGCCCCAACCAGTCGTGGGGAGTTCCATGTGATCGTTCATTGTGGGTTTGCATGTAATTAAGGGATATATATGGCAGAGGGAACATGGGAACGAACACCAGGGATGGCATCAATATCCATCTGACATTTGGAAGTGCTGGAACACATTTGGTTCTTTCCGAAAACAAGGGTCGGATGGTCCGCTCTCTTGCTTTCTGAAAGATGGATCTTGCGACCCGCAAGCCGCAAGACCCGCCCCTGCCCCAGGACCCCTTCGAGGCCGGCAGCGACCTGGCTTCGGGAATGCCACCTGGCGAAACAGCGTGTGGGGATGGGTGCACAGCGTGATAGGGAAGTCATTCGTTGGGACCAAAAAATCGAAAAAGAAACTGTTTGCCTCCACCCTAATAGGGATGGCCTCCATCCTAGTAGCAAAACCTGGTTTCCTGGGACTAGGACTCTGCTGTATCGTGAGCCCCTTCACTGGATGTTCCTTACCTTTGCCCAGGTGCTCAATGTCCAGTAGACTGACGAGGTCTTCCTATGTAGACGAAAGACTAAACGTACTAGACCAACAAGCACGTGACTTGCACCAAAACGGCTTTCAACGTGGTTGACCCCGATTTTCCCCGAACGATCTGTGCCTTGAGCCTCCACAGAGCTCCAAAAGTGGCGCAACAGTTTGAAAACCTCCAAAAGAGATGATAGGACAGCAGGGAATAGAATACATGAAGAATGGGCCTGGTTGGGAGGCCAATACATGTATATATGTGTATACATACTCCGTCTTGAAAATAGATGGTTTAAAAAAGAAAATTGCGCCATCTACGAGCGCCAAAGTACCACAGTAGAATTGCGCCATCAGTAGGCATCCTGACAGTATAAAAAGGGCGAGATTTAGGCTTCAAAACCTCGTACTCGGAGACCCCTGACGGCACGCTCCATCTATATACTCCAGTTAGAAAGTAGAACTACAATAGCTGAATCTCTTGTGAGAGAGAAAGAAAGAGAAAGAGAAAGAGAAAGAGAAAGAGAAAGGAAAAGCAGGAGGCCTTTTGGCATGGAAGAATTTGGAATACTGTAAATAGTATATAGGAGCACAATGCCACTATATACTGGTAGACCTTAAATGTCATTTGTTTGCATTTTCAACAAAAGTGAACCCACGCAAACAAAACCAAGCAGCCAGCCCACAAGTACAATACTGTATCCCAAATGATGGATGGTAGAAGAAAGTTTTTGCAGTGTGGCATCACCGGCTGCTCATACCGCCATTTACAAAGCTCCGTCAATGTACAGATTCCTGCAGCTCTTGTATCTGGCATCAAACGCTGGGATTTGGGGAAAATAACATGCTGGCAGCATGTGCAGAGCAGGTGAGTGCTAGAAAGAGAAAGAGAAAGAGAAAGGAAAAGCAGGAGAAATAGTAAAAGACAAAGTAGGATGGGCACCGATGGGCTTGAGTGTGTTTGGACTGCTTTGGATGGCTTTGCACTGATGTGCATTGTGCCATCTATAGCGCGTTTTTTCGCTCGTTGTTGCAAGCTCATTTTTTCTTGCGTTTGCATTTTTGCACCCCCCCTCTCCCTATAAATGCGCCATCTACAGGTGCAAAATAGCGAGGAAAAATACATTGATGGCGCATCTGGGAACACTCCCGGGAACCCTGACTTGTGCCAGAAACTCTCCGGGCGGTGTACATATATAATATTATATATATATATGTGTATATATATATATTTACAACCCCCCCGGGTTTGCAACTGGTGTTGGAGACTGGCGGTGGTGGTCGATCAATCCAAGGGGAAC